TCTGAAATTACACGCGTATATTTTTTCTAGATAGATGAGCCAACCACAGACAAGCGCTGAATAAATATAACTCTTCTGTATAATTGCTGTCACTGCAAGAAATAAATTATTTGAGTAACATTAACATGTGTATTTCAAAACGGTTAAGCCTACACTTCCTCCCACGAACCTGTTCGCCATGTGGTAACAACATTCTTGGAGATTTCTATTTTCTTTAGTACATGCTCCGTATTCTTGATAGCATGACTTCAATGAGACATCACAACAGCCACCCCATTCCAATAGCCCACAAGTTGTTTTCTTCAGTTTTGTCGGTTTCCTTTTTTTTTTTCTCTAGTCCATTCTCCCCCCTTTCTTTTATTTTTACTCTTTGGCACACTCTATTGAGGGAGAGTGCAGTTATCATGATATGAATATGTCAGGTGCTGCTTTAAAATTAGAGTCCAGGAAGAACGAGGCTAAAACTGACAAACGTAGTAACTTAAATCTCGTTACCCAACTGACATATAGCCATGCTCCATATCTTCAATCCATTTACAGTTCATAGATTCCTCTGATGTTTCATTTTCTAAACAAGTAATAAAAGTGAAAACTTAGAAGATATATAAACACTCAGGGAAAGACGGTCACGTTTTTGTCTGCCCAATTACTTCAGTTCCTCCTACATTCACTACCACACGCAAACATTCACAGAAAACAGAAACTAAGTATTGGCATGAACAACTTTGTACTGGTTTAAAATAGGGATTCACTTCAATGAATCTTTTTTTTTTAAGAATGCTTTCATTTACACGAGAAATATTGTTTTGATTTTTTTATTACATTACATTAATCTTGATATATATCGTTTGATATGTTTCTTTTTTATGTGCTGGCGTCGTTACAAATAAGAAATATCTCTTTCAACTCTCAAGCTTTATTCCACTGCCATTATAAAAAATTATTGTTCTTTGGCAGCCACTGCCCACTCCATTTTGCTACCTATTCAGGATCCTGCAATGTTATCACTGAAAATGTATGACAACTGCCATAGTGATATAAAACACATCTGCTTGTTTGTACACTTTTTAAAATCATCTTCAGCTGTTGATGTGTAGTCTGAATCATGCATAGTTGTGACGTACAAGTTGTTAAAACGATGTGGAGTCTGAATCAGGGATACTTATTATGTACAAGTTGTTAAAAATGATGTGGAATCTGAATCATGCATAATTGTAATGTAAAAGTTGTTAAAGCTTCAATTTATAGCCACCATTAAGAGAGAACCTGACAGATGTAAGAACTGCTCATACACGAATCACATGCCAAGCAACTTATTACGTGTGACGTTTCCTGTCAAAACTTTCGAAAGGCTGGTACTTTTATAATTAGGTCATCTTTCAAATGTACGATCATAATATTAAGTAACTAGTTTTCCCCATTGTATTGGCATCGTTCTACTAACAGTGACTCTTTCATACTCACTAAGGTATATGTTAAAACGTCACCAACTTCAGTAGCTTTCCATCTCTCTCAGATATGGCGTGCTATATCACTGAAACAACGAGCATCTATAAAAAATTGGAAAATCCTACGGCCTGTTATCAAATGAAGGCTAAAAGTCATATTTTCATATCATGACGATTTCTTGAAAACATTATTATAAGACTTGAAGAAGGTTTTCCCTTCAAATAGTTTAATAAACTCAAGCTTTCCATAATACTCATAGATCCAGAACTGCAAGGCCTAGTTACGTTAGTTCTGAAATATGTAGATTGTATAAACCATCCTAGAAAATCTAAGTAGGTTTACCTTTGAAACTTGTGGATTGTATAAACCATTCTGGAAAATATAGGTAGGTTTACCTTTGAAACTTGTGGATTGTGTAAACCATCCTGGAGAATCTAGATAGGTTTACCTTTGAAACTTGTGGATTGTGTAAACCATCCTGGAGAATCTAGGTAGGTTTACCTTTGAAATATGTGGATTGTATAAACCATCCTAGAAACTCTAGGTAGGTTTACTTTTGAAATTTGTGGATTGTGTAAACCATCCTGGAGAATCTAGGTAGGTTTACTTTTGAAATATGTGGATTGTATAAACCACCCTGGAGAATCTAGGTAGGTTTACCTTTGAAACTTGTGGATTGTACAAACCATCCTAGAAAATCTAGGTAGGTTTACTTTTGAAATATGTAGATTGTATAAACCATCCTGGAGAATCTAGGTAGGTTTACCTTTGAAATATATGGATTGTACAAACCATCCTGGAGAGTCTAGGTAGGTTCATTTTTGAAATTTGTGGATTGTATAAACCATTCTGGAGACTCTAGGAAGGCTCACACACTGGTTGCTCTTAATACATGTTTATATCATGCCAATTTACACGCCTGCGGGAGAAATTACCTGGGTTAAAACTGCCCAAAACACTCCATAACCAATGTAAGTAGGGTAAAGGTAACAGTGAAGACCCCTTGTAAAATAATGAAATGAACTATTTCAATATACTTTGGAAATAAAAAGTTTTAAATTAATAAACGAACTATTTATATGAGCATGAGAAACAGATTTAATAAGGAATGATATTTTTCTAACTATAGCAATTTAAATTTTTAAGTCTTTTTATTATCATTTGAAATAAGCATAAATGCCAGTTTTTCGTTTTGCTTGCTTTGCAATTTCTAACTTGACGTTACTGTTACATCGTGTAAATTATATTTCAGTTTTGTAAATCATCCACTTGAATTCGACCTAAACATGTTACTAACACCTCTGAAAAAAAAGCTCTTCCTAATAAAGTAAAACAGTTAAGTCTTTCGTATTCCCCACCCCCACACAAAAAAAAAAAACAGACAACTGACGCCGCGTAGCAAACGAACAAACACTGCATAAGCTCTAACGATAGTGGTCAGCTTACTTCTGAAAAATTATGTGTCCAATCACGACTTCCTGACTGACGTTGTCGGGGCCCTTCTCATATTTCACGGGAGAACTTAATGAAGTCACTATTTCACTTAAGCCTTACCGGTAAACGACCCTTCCATTCATAAATCGAAATAAACTGAGCATATCAAAATTGTAAGATTACCCTGAATACTTGGAAAAAGAGGTTGTCAGATAATTCCAGAAAATCTTTACGATAACTTTATGTATATGAAAAAAATGGATTTAGTAACTATTCAGTATTTGAACATATGTGTTTATATATATATATATATGATATATCATGCTAGTAATTAAACAGAAAACAGGACGCCAGATTAAAAAACAAAAAGAAAAGAAAAGAGTTCTAAACTTTTACTTCCTTTCGTATATTACGATACAAACTCGTGACTGGCGCGAATTTATAATTGTTCTTGCGGTAGTCGTGTATCTGAACGTCTTGAGCCATTACTCCTTATATTACAAAATCGTTTAAGATAGCCTTACAAACAACTGTTGTGTAAATCTTACAAGCAGAGAAACGATCACAATTCAATAAATCACCAGTCAATTTGGATAACTTGTAAATGTTCATATTATTACGAAACAGTTATATGTGAGTACGTGTTCGAGTATCTCGTGGATCTCCATGTATTCACGAAATATTTAAATGCAATTTGAAATGAAATAATATACAAATTAATTGAACAGTTACTATCACTGAAAGTAAACTAAAGTTGGATAATATTTCTAAATCAAACTCTACTTAAACTGTATATTTTTAACACAACACTGAAACTGAACTACAGAAGACTAAACCTGTTGATTAACCTCCTCCTTGCTACACCTCCTTTACATCTTAACAACCTGTAAATTGTCCATTAACTCGCGGGGTTCACCATTTTACACACACACAAAACAACTAATAATTGCCACAAACGTGGGCATCAGTATTTTTAAGCGTTATTACTTAGGTAACTCTTAACTGAAGTATTTAGTGTCTTAGATTTAACACTTTTTTTTAAACTGGGAGAGACACCTCCACGATAAAACATTACCGCCTATAGTTATGGACAGAATGAATAGTCATATTTTACGTCTAGAGCGAAAGTGTCACGGCACAATTTCATTGCCCATAGTCATTCGCTGAATGATTAATGTTTGTATATGGATCTGTAGACTGTGAGCCTTATTTTTAAAATCCTAAATAATTCATGCTTCTGAGGATTACCTGTTCACAGTTACAAACGTGATAAATACTACTTCATATAGTGTCATACTTTGAATAGTACTTTAAGAGTTGACAGAATCGTTCGCTTCACTGAGTAGGTGAGTAGATCAAATGCTTCTCTTTAACGTATTATATCGTTGCGTTGAAAAGAAACGGTGGAAGTGTCGTCACAGTAAACTCTTAGTGTTATAGCCATATCCTCACCGTATTGTATTTATTTACTCAAACATCCACTTGCTAATTCATGGTGTTCTTTACAACACACACACAGCAGTTAACGTAAAAAATAAGTAAGTTGACTGTGTTCGATGTAAGTAATAACCACCAATTAGATGTTATGGCACAGAACTGTTGTTACTAGTCTGGTATGTGGTCACTGCATAATTCATGGTGTTCTTTACACCTAGTAACAACAGTTCTGTGCCATAACATCTAATTGGTGGTTATTACTTACATCGAACACAGTCAACTTACTTATTTTTTACGTTAACTGCTGTATGTGGTCACTGCATGATACTCACTCAGATTTAGCCACTCCCAAAAGGCACAACGATTTCTGGATAGCAACACTTATTTATAGTAGTGAATTTTTCAACGTTTCTTAATATAGACTGTATTATTTGTTCTTTGGCCAGATATTTATCATAAAACATGTTTTCATCTACCTGATACGATCATTCTACTAATTTCATGTTGTAGGTCACTCACGCATTTAGTTGCTCCCTGAAATAACTTAAACTGTATATTAGTATCTAAACAAACAACATAAAGTTATACATTTTTCTTGTTTAAAAAAAAAGAATTAAGGTTTCATAGAAATAGTTTAAGTATTGTAGATATAGGAAAAATATACTTTTTTTTTTACTTACAAAACAACCATGTAGAACTGCCAGTCAAGTAACAGTTGTAGCGTGTCCTTTAGTTTGGTCTTTCACTGTTCAACAACATAATGCTCACCGGAATTCCGTGCAGCGGGTGAGTCTTGCAGAGTCTGTTGCACGAGTCTAACGTGGGCTAGTGCTAGAGCGAGATGTGCGGCGTTCTTAGTTCAAGATGTTTGCGGTCGATGAAATAATCGAGAGGGCGGAACGCGAGTAGTTACTTTGTCTTCGAACACAGAGGATATTACAATAGGCTAAAGCCACCAATGATAATCAAGTCGAAGCTCACTGGCAAATAGAAAAGTACAAGAAGATAACGGAAGTAGCTGATAGGCTAAGGCAGATTGTTATACATTCGGGAGAAAAAGACTGATGCTTCGTCTCGTTCTGTGACGCACATTGTACGGTACACGCAATCGGAATGTTGATCTTGGGCATCTTTGTTACACAAGACAGAGCACGCGCTGTAACGCCATCCACGTGCATTATGGAGGAAAATGCGTCAATGTCAAGTGATGCTATGAGTGTGGTTATTTACCAGAATGGACAAACTGACGAGCGTTCCCACAGTTTAAAATTTGTGTGTTAAAATAATGGACACTAGAAAACTGTTTTCTAGATTTGACCTTTACAAAAAAAAAAAAAAAAAAAAAGAAAGAGAGAGAGAGAA